CCAGTCAGCCCACTGCCATCGAGTGGATGCTGACTCTTAGTGACCCTATATAGGGTTTCTGAGGTTTTGTTAATCTCTCTGGGAGCAGACAGCCTGATATTTCTCCCTAGGTGTGGCTGGTGGGTTTGAACAGCCAATCCTTCCCTTAGCAGTTCAATGCTTACCAGGCAGCCAGTAGACACTAACTCTAATCCGTCACACTCCTTCCAAGACTCTTCCTCGACACTGACAAATAGGACAAGGGGTTCATCAGCTGTGTTTGGTTTGTTACTTTCTATCCCAATTTCATTTCATCATTTTGTCTTACCCCTTGTCTTGCTTCACCTCTCCATCTTAAATGTCATATTGCATTTTTTAAAATTGCACAAGCAACACATCAATACACGCTCTTAAAATATCTAGACAGTATGCTTATGTAAAAAGTATAAATATTCTCTCTTCTGTCACTTGTCTTCCCCCACCCAGGGAAACAGATCACTCTACACCAGTCCTTGGGGATACAACTCACCAACAGAGCACTTTACCAAATGATCAACTGCTGAATATTCATCCGCCTTCCTGACTTCCCCAAATTCACTTACGGGCTTGTAAACCAGGTTTAACCAGAGTGTTTTGACATCTTTGACAAGATTGTTCCAATGGGGAAATTTCCATATATATTGATTTTTAATATGGAATTGTACCAGCTCCTTGTAATTTCTTTTGGATGATTTTAAATTTGAACTTAAAATCAACACCAGGATCTTATATAATTTTTCTTTGAATGTAAATTTAGAATTTGAATTGAGTGGAACTCTGCATTTACATTTAAAAAATTTTAAATTCCCCCACGTTTTGGGGTGCCTTTGAATTAATATGATGAAAATGTAATCGCTAATAGCAGAAAATTAAAATTGAGAAGACATTTCAGGAATTGGTGAGGGAATACAAAAATAACTGACTTTTAAAATTAGAAAATGACATTCAAAAGAGCAGATACCATCACAGACGAAAACCCACAGCAGCAACCCCCACCCCACCACAAAGTGCTGCCATTCAGGGTTCTACTGAGGAACGGCCGGCCGGGGTCTGTCTTCTTGTGAACCAGCTCAGTGTGGAAGGAAATCGCTACTCCAGGAAACGTACTAGAAAGCAACAGAAGCCCAGTTGGTTTTTCTGAAACATTAACACGTAGTATTTGAAACTCACAAAGACCCTGTGAGGTGGACAGAATAGGTAGTAAACTCAAAACTGACTGTGGGTCTCCAGGACTGTAACTCTTGATGGAAGTAGAAAGCCTCATCTTTCTCCCACAGAGCGGATGGTGGTTTTGAACCATAGACCTCATGGTTAGCAATGTGTAATCACTACACCATCAGCTTCCACTTTATACATGAGGAAGGTAAAGCTCAGTGAAGACTGAGAAACATAAAAAACATAAAGCTAAGCGGAGGAGAGGGAGGAAGCAGAGGTCAACGTTGATCTTGGGAAGCAAGTACAAGGTCAGTGTGGTGTGCCTGTGGCTGAGCAGGGGAGTGCACTGGCAGCCATGGGAGGCCAGATTGACCCAAGGGTGCAGACCTTGAAGACTGAAAGAAGGCAATGGCATGGGAAGCAACATGCAGGGTCAAAATCATTATCATAGCCTTTCTCACTCCTGTTACTTCCCGGCATTGGCTAGCACCTTGTGCTGCCATTCAATGATGGCTGAGAAGGGAAGGGAACCAGGGCAACTCTCAGTGCTTTTTTCGTTCAGATTTTTCTTATTTATCAGTAAGCAAAACTAGACTTTTGGTGATGTGCCTTCAGTAACACAGCCATGCGCTTATCAAGAAGTGAAATCCAGATTACCGTGTTAGCTTTGTGCAGCGTTTCTTCTGCTAAGGAGGAGATACAAGTGCGTTCCCGTGAAGAATGACCCATGCGATTGTGTGGATGCTGTGTCATGTCCCGCGTGGCCATGACCAGGAATGGAGTTGACAGCAACTGGCCACCACGTGTTTGTATTTAAGACTGACGTTGCACAACTGGGAGATGAATACCAATATTTTTAGTTTTTATTTACTGAACAAATGGCCAATAAAATCACCATTGTCAAAAGCTTTTTATATTGTAGTGTTTTTAACAGCACCATTTGTCTACTGTTTTAAAAGGGGCATTGGGTTTTCATTTTGCATGCCGCCTGCCAATTGTATACCTAGCTCTAGCATTGTGATGCTGGGCTCACCCTCACCTCCCCGGCCCCTGCCCCTTCTAATCATTAGTTTCTCTGTCTGTGAAATGGGCGTAAGTGGACCTCTGCTCCTGGGTAATCACTTTATTCATTTACTATATTCTTTCTATCTAATTTCCATGTTACTCAGGAAGCATTTGGGGAGTTTAATTAGTGAATGGGGAGAGAGAAAATTATACAACTAGGGAGGGAAGGAGGTAGAATAATATTTGAAAAGGCTGACAGTGATTTGGAAAGAAGAAAAGGAATCCCTGGAAAGGTTTAGCTTTTTTCTTCAAGGGAGACCTTTGCCCTTTTGCAAGGCATTGGTAATGCATGAGCATTATTAATAAGATGCTGGAAAGAACAATCCCAAGGGCTCCTTCCATGTTTACAAGACTTTTCAGTGCTCGGGGATATCACATTTCAGCTTTCCTGTGAAGAGGCTGGCAGTGTTATCTCAAGAACTGCTGAAGCTAGATCTCAGAAGAGTCTTAAAAGTAAGACAGGAGACCGAGTTTACATTGGGAAAGTCCCTTTACCAGGGACTCAGCCCAAGTGATTCCAGTTGTCTTTTGGGGTGCTGTTAAGTTACAACCAGCAGATGGCGCTTTTAAGGTAGGGTTCTGAAGCTGCTGCTGTTTAAGTTAGAAGTACCCTCAAGAAGCATGCAGAGCCCGCATGGGGAGGCCTGTTAGGCTCATCACGTCACTTGGGCTTGATATTGAAGATAGAATGGAAGTAGCCTTAGCCGGTAGGGTAGGTGATCACAAATGTTTCTGCCAGATCTGAAAGCCCCCTTTTTTAAAGATAAAGTCAAACTGTTCTCACTGCCATCAACTAGATTCTGACCACAGTGAGCCTATTGGCGAGGGAAGATGATAGATAACTCTTTTCATAACCATTACACCACCAGGGCGCCTTAGAGATAAAGTAGATATATGAAAACCCAGCAATTAAATGCCCAGCAATAAAAAACAACTTTAAACACAGTTCAGAATCTTTAAATTGTTGAATTTTTATTCTATTGAGAACCTTTGAGACCTATGTTTTTTTTTTAAAAAAAGTTCTCTGCTAGAGATGCGTGTCAATGGTTTGTAAATATAATTGGTCAGTATCTATGTGGCAATAGGGAGTCTGTGGGTGCTACAAACCAAAAGAATGGTGGTTTGAGCCCACCCAGAGACCCTTTGGAGCCTGGTGACACAGTGAGGAATGGACACAGTGGTCCCTAGTACTGGTCCCCTCTAACACACGCAAACAAGTGTGACTGCACGTAAAGCACACGCATGCACTGTGTTGACTCGCGTGTTCTTGCTCTCCCCTGCTTTTCGCTTCCCGAAAATGATGGCAAAGTGCTGTGTTTGTTTTAACTCGACCCGTCTTACACAACCTGTTTAATCATTTCACAGATTTCCTTTTGAAATAAATAAGCCTTGATAGTCAGACGGTAGTGGCAGACTTTTGCCATTTCAATAACCTGGGCAAGAGATGTCTTTGGTCAAATTTCTGTATGCAGTTTTCTAATGGGCTCCTCTGTTTCCCTAATGAAATCAGCACGGAAGTGTTGGTACAAAAGAACCATATTAATTCAGAGGAAAGAATGCCAATGTGACCATAAAATATATGAATTAGAGAAATGTATTTATAGAAATATATTTTATTACTTTAAAGTAAAGTACATATATTGTAAACTACAGCAGAAATGTCTACAAATAAAAGGAAATAAATAATTTTTTAAGTGAACCAAAAATAGCATAAAAGAAAGTTAATTTAAAATCTTAAAGATAAAATTTGAATTCATTCCTAGCGGTTTCCAGTTGTATCAGGAAGTTGTTATAGGAAGCATTCTCTTTTATTCTTATACTAAAAATTATAAAAATCTTTATTGAAAAGCTTATGTGAATTTGTTTTTCAAAAAAGGGAAGATATTCTATTTGTGAGTGGATGCCAATTTTGAATTAATGGTATATGATTTAACAAGAATTAGGAGATATCCATTCCCTATTTGATTGATTACTTATTTCTTAGAGAATAATGCCCAGAGTTGGTAATTTCATTAACAGTTGCAATCTTTCCTCTGCCTAATGTTCACCTTCTTCAGACTGGGGCAGACTAAGGAACTATTCTGTAGAGAACTCTTGCAAGCGTGGGTTTTCCTTAAGTCATTTCTATTGTCAAGGACCCATTTACTGTAGAGTCCTGAAGCTGCTGCTCTAAATTAGAAGTACACTCGAGGCTAGACAAACAAGCAGGTCCCATATCAAGTTACACTGCTTGGGTTTAATTTTGAGGGCAGAATGGAGGTAGCTATAACAGGAAGGGTAGGTAAACACCAGGTTTCTGGCAGGTCTGAGTCTCTTAGAGACAATGTAGATGATACGCAAATTTTCTGTAATGGACAAAATCAGACTCATTCTAGAACCAATTTGATTTAAAAGTGAATCTAGGTGGGTCGCTTGCAGTATAGAATAGATCTGCTAGAGCTATGCTCACAGATGATACAAGGTCAATGTCCTGGGGCAAGAGAGGAAAGGCCAAGGGCAAATGTGATTTGTTTCTAGCTTTGAGCCATTCATCAGAATGCCACACTCCTATTTCAGAGTCTATTATTTATAGATTAATTGACATAAATTCCTTAGCTGTCAACTCAGAGAATACCTGCTCACTTTCTAGCTGCGTATTAAAGGGTGTGTGAGTTCAGATTTTAGTTTTTCTACTTAGAGGTTTCTCTTTCCGATATTAATAATTAACCAGAGTACTAACTTACCCAAATTCTTTAAGCTCAGTTTATTTAAAAGGTGAGCAACTTCAAGAAAGGTTTTATCCATGGTTTGTTGCCACCTCCAGCCATGGGTTTTTGGGGTGCACTTTGTTTTTTAATTTTTCTGAGGGAAAGCTGGGGACAGGAACAAACGTAAGTACAGTCATTCATCTTTATTTTCCAATGTATCTTGGTTATGATGAGTGAAAGTAAATTGCTCAGACTGCGTTAACTTGAAAATAGCTTTCTACTTCTGAAGCACCGAATGGTTCGGACCCTGAGTAATAGAGTCATAGGTGAGTTTTTATTTGAGCAGTGTCTAACAACATGGCAGTTTTTAATGGGATTATTGAGGAGTCCTGCTGGTGTAGTGGTTACAAATTGGGCTGCTAATCATAAGGGCAGCAGTTTGAAACCACCAGCTTCTCTGAGGGAGAAAGATGAGGCTTTGGACCACTGTAAAGAGTTACAGTCCTGGAAGCCCACTGCAACGTCACTGTAAAGAGTCACAGTCCTGGAAGCCTACTGCAGCATCACTGTAAAGAGTCAGAGCCCTGGAAGCCCACTGCAGCGTCACTGTAAAGAGT